TTCCCTTCTTCTTCGTTTTCTTCATAATATTGAAATAATTATATCTTGAACATCTTTCTTTGGTAAATATTCTAAAGCTTTGAGGAATTGATAATACGATTGCTCTGGTGTTGTTGTGTAGATATACAGAGAATCGAAATCTAAAAGGTTTGGTGTTGTCAACATGTTAAAAGTGAGATGAGTTTTCCCAGAACCGAACTACCGCATATACACATGAGCATTGGGTTACTAGGAAATATTTCTGAATGTGTGAATTTCTGTCCCATTTTTTATTATTTTATTTTGTTCCAAAAATCACTCCTTCTCCTTTATACTTTGAAAGAAATAATCCTTTTCCAGTGCGTATGTTTTTTTTAAAAATATTCCATAACCCTTATGTTTGACTTTGGCTTCTCCTGTGTCAATACTATCTACTAATTTATTTAATCCTTGTTTAACAGTTTTCTTGCTTTTTTCCCCAAATCTGTTTCCAAATTCTTTTATTGTGCCTATCATATCTCCCACTCCTGAACCTTTGGCTTCCTTTTCCATTATTAAATTATGTCTGCGTTCTTCAGCGGCTTTAGTATCAGCTGCTTTCTTTGCGTTGGCAGCTATTCGACCAGTTGCTGCACCCGCCGCTGCAATACCACCAAATATTAAAGGTAGTAGGAAAGGCAAAAAACCCACCTTCCTTTGCGTTCGCGTTAATTCTTTCCAAGTCTCTGACTTTACAATATTTGTATTTATCAATAAAGTTTTTAGTTATGTTGATTTTTTTACCATTGAAAATTATTACAGTTGGGGAAGCTGTTTCAATAGCTTCTATTATTTTCATAACTAAAGTTTCTAGTTTCATTTTTAAGGGTAAATTTTTTACTCAATTCTTATCATTCTTATATCTGCTATTTTAATTAAATGTTTTGCTTCTTCGAGTAGTAAACAATACCCGATCACATCTCCTTGTGTTTTTTCAACATGAATATTTATGTTCACTCCTGTTTTGAAAAGATCTTCTTGGTGAGCTGATAGATCAAAACAGAAGTGCAAAATATACATATTCAAACTGAGGTGGATTTCCAAATAATTCACACGTTTTTATAGTTTCTATACAATTCATTATAATCCTTTGTGTTTGGATTAATTGTTAAAGGATGGTTAGGATAATAATCTTACTTGAACTTTATGGATTGTAGGATCTTGAGTTTATCATTTTCAATTCACGTAATTACCCCACCTATTATTCTCAACAACATTATTATACTGAAGTACTCGTTTTTCAAATCCATGATTAGCTGCTCGTGCTATTCTTTCTATTGTGTTTCGGGCAATAACTCGCATTCTAGCTTCATCCGCATCGTTTGGAACATTTCTTACCAGTTCTTTTAAAACACTTCCATCACCAACATCGGGTATCCAGTCTGAGACTGAATCGAAATCTTTAGGATATAAAACTGTTTTCAACATTGTATCGAATTCCCCAGGGTGTTTGATAGTTTCTGTCGGATTTGAACCAGCTTCCAAAACCATCTCGCTAAATAAAGATGGATAGAAATTGTTTTCTAACGTTGTATTAGTTTGTGGTACACGATTTTCATTGGGGTTTCCATCTTTTATTTTGAAATCGCATCTGAAATAAGCATCGGAAAGAAGCAACCAATTCGATAATGAATTTATTTCGAAGGTAATTCTACCACCATCATTCAACTGGGATTTAGAACCAACAGTTGGTGAGATGATAATATAATCCTCTTTTTTCTTGTTAAATGAATAACGAATTGGATCGTATAATTTGAAGATTGGATCTAATATTTTATTTACCATTTTTAAGCTTAAAAATTTTAGTAGAAATTGTTATCTTCCTTCTAGAAGTATCTACATTATTAAAAAACCGGATGTTAAGCGAAACAAGGATGTTATTTTATATAAGGGTATTTTTAATATGCTTTTTTTCGTTTAATCTAATGAAATGCAGGGTGAATAGGTTCTTTTTTTGGGTGGGGGGGGGGGA